GCGTCATCCAAGGAGCCATCTGCACCAGGAGTAGAGAGCCGGCTGCAGCCACAGGGAACGACACAGGACCCAGAGGAGAGAGGGGCCCCAGACCCCACCAGGCCCAGGACTCAGACCCCATAGGACCCAGAGGTCCTAAAACATAATTTGATTTCATTCACATCCGTGCTTTAACAGGATTTGGAAATTAGGCTTGATGATACCTTCTCATTCTTAAAGTAAATTAGACTCTTTAAACCCGTGTGTCTGAAAAGCGTGTTGTAACTATGCTTGTCCCTGTGTGCTTTTATAATGTCATTACCTCTGCTCTAATTTTCTTGATGCGATCCACAGGCTCCTGGGTTTTATATCCTTCTCTAATGCATCAGACCATCAAAGTCAGAGCAGAGTGTGCTTGCTCCTGTTTGTAGTGCTTAGTTCATTTATAGGGATTGTTGGAGCTCGTATCACCTGTGAAGGGTTCCAGACGACTCCCACTTTGATTAAAAGAAAGAGCAGAGATGTTGAGCAACACACAGGTGGCACAGCGGCAGAGAGAGGACTTAAAAGCACGATCCGAGTGAGACGTGGAGGTTTGGCGCCATGTTTGTGATATTTCTCTCCAAAACATTTAGGGCCACACAATTTTGTCATTTTTTTCTGACCAATATTGCAATTGTGATTTCATTTACGATATGTTATTAAAGAGGGATTATTTTCATTCATTTTCATTTATTCATTTATTTCAGGCAATGGCACAGTTGAGTAAATAATGTAATTGAATGCAGTTAAATAATATAAATCATATAATGCAAAAATACAAACAAACAAAAACTCAAACAAAAAACATAATACACAAACATTTTATAAACAATAAATGCACGGTATAAACTTGGCCAATTAATTCTGCCTGAGAAATTATGTTTGAAGTGTTGCATTAGAAAAACACACTCATCCTAGAAGATTATTATTCAACATGATTTTTCCTTTTACAAACAAGAATCAAAGTATTTGTAAATAATCTTGAATTTAGTTGTTTTCGTCTTCAAATCAAGATGCAATATAACACATTTTCAAGCATTTTTGGATTATTTGTTGTTTTTTGTTTGCATGGGTCTTAAAAATATCAGGTGTGCCACCAGGGGGGAGATCCAGGAAACATTGGAAAACTGTATCTCAGCTGGCCTGGGAACGCCTCAGGATTCCCCGGGCTGAACAGTGTCTTGTGTATGTGTGATTGCGGGCCCAGCAGTGGCAACAGATGAAGTGGAAGAGGATGGATGGATGGGACTGAGAAATAAGCATAGCATGTTTAAAGTCCTTATAATCACATCCAACATTGAAGCAGACGTATCTAACTTTAAAACCTCAAACAATGACAGTAATAAAATCCACTTGCTCGTAGGTCACTGGTATCACTCGGCATGTATTTTTGTCCACCGTCACATTTTTATAACAGCTTTTTCAGTGAGAAAGAATGGACCAGCCCTCCCTGAGATTAAGATTAAGACATCCTTTATTCGTCCCACTGAGGGGAAATTTCAGTGTTGCATCACAAAACAAAACAAAATCTCTAACTCTAATATAAAAGAAACAAGTATTAAATCGTTATCTTGATAATTAATAATAATAATAATAAAAAAGAAGTATACAAGTTTTACATTTGGCAAAATAAGAGGCAAGTATAAAGTATCATGTATTCTAGTGCAAGCAATATGTATTCTATGTTCATCTGTACGTTAGCAGCAGTGTGTTTACATCTGTACATGTTTGCAGCAGTGTGTTTACATCTGTACATTAGCAGCAGTATGTTTACATCTGTACATTAGCAGCAGTCTGAGCACATCTGTACATTAGGAGCAGTTTGAGCACATCAGCTCCCAGTGTGTAAAAGATACAAGTCCAAAAAGAGTTAGACACTCCAGCTTCAAGCCTGTGACTTCTGTCTAAACTTCAGTATCGCCTCCCACTCTTCGATTACGACACAGAACAAACTACCGCAGTCGTGGTGTACAATTTACAGCTCTGAGTGGTTTATTTATCTGCCTTGAGCGAATCGGCCGAAGCAAACTGCTGACAAATTTGAAATAAGAGCACAATAATTCGCTACCCAACAACTGAACGCTGCAGAGACGGCCCTGGACAAATCATTTGCTCTCACCCCATTGCGAGCGACGAGTTATGTGGAGCTTAGAATACAACCGCTGCATCAAATGTATACTTAATATGTAGACAAATGCACTGTAGACAAAAGCAATGTTTTATTTTTTATCGGAAATATTTATGTGCAAAACAACAGTAGCTTCAGTGCTGTAAAATGTGACCATAATGGCTGACCATAGGGTTCGATATGCCCCGGTCCCATTACAGCCCTCTATAGTATTGAGCAACAGTTAAAAGTCCCTCTTGGGTTCAGGGCCCTGCTTATATTGTTCATCTTGTCTATTGCGGCGTCTCTTCAGCTGCTGTCTCTGAGCACACGCAGGAAGCGGTTAACCATGAGAGAAGATGGCACCGTAACGTCTCGCGTCGCAAATGGAAAAATGACAGACACCGACATTCATGGGAAACGTTTAAGTAGCATTTTGTTTTCTCCCACTGAAATCTTAAGAGCAGATTTTGAAGCAATTTCCATCAAACTTTGAAATGAAAAGTGACAGACCCAGTGGTAAATGTTTGCTTTAATTGATTCATTTAGTAAATATAATTATAATTCAAATACAAAACACACGAGACGAGACCAGGCAGTTATTTTCTCTGGGGAGACACATTGGGATTTCGTCATATTGTGGAGGGCTGGACATTTATATAACTCCGAAAAACATAGTATTTTCTATTTTCAGAATACTCAGAATCAAAATGTAATATGTGCGAGTTTCGATTAATACTTCACCACATTATTAGACGACTGCTGTTGCGATTAGGGATGTAAATATATGTAATTGAAATTGAATAGAGATACTGTAAGTTGGAGATGAGCCTTTAGAAAACACATACTTGAAAGGCTGATGATTTGCTTTATACCAAGTTTTAGTTTTACCCCTTCTTGAGCAAACCCTTTCAAATGTACGGCCACTAACAAAACATGTTGAAGATTTTTGCTCGAGGTTTACACATTTTTGACCTTTTTTCATGTGTTTTTGCAAATTAACTCTTCCACTTTAAATTATTATGTGTTGTTATTTTATTTGTCTTTCTGCCAACTTATACACCCAAATAATTTGAACTGAATGAATTTGTAAACACGCCTTCACTGTTCAAAGTAAAACTTCTACTCTGGCAATGTTCAAATCCATGTTAAAAACAGTTCTGCTTAGCTGTGGTTAAGCACTTGGCCTTTTATATGGACTGTGCTATACAAATAAACTGGCTTTGAAGCAGCTGTTTCTGAGAGTTTAAAAATGTGTTTGATTTTGCTTTTGTTTGTTTGAATATGAATAGTTTTGCCTCTTTTTCATCTGTTTTGTGCAGAAGACGGCAGGTTGATAGAAGCCGCTTGAAGTTTGGCTCCAAAAGTGCGAGAGTTCTGTGTGATCTGCTGCAGTGCATTCTGGACCAAGGCTTGGAAATGTCAGCGTTCCCCCACAGAGCATCTGATCTGAGATTTACAATAAGCCGCACTCTTCTGTGACTTCACATTTATTGAGTGAAGTGTTTATTAAAGTTTGAAGCAGTAACAGTTTTACGAACACTGGGTCAGCCTGGGTCCGTCTCCTTCAACGGACTTTACTGCTGCTGTAAGAGGCTGGAACTCACAAGGAGAGGGAAGCACTGTGTTTGAGGAGGACATATGCTTTATGTTGTAGAGACACTTCTCAATCATTGTAAGAAAACAAACACAATAGAGTATCTTTTATTTCTGTTGGATAATATGCTTTTATTTCTGTTGGTTGTGACTAAGTTCACTCTTTCCCCCTCTCCTACGCACCTGCTCCACCAATTGATGTGCGAGTGTGACCAAGTTCATGAAATCAAACTTTCTGAACGATAAAGGAAACGGGATATAAACAGCACAATAAAACTATTGAATAAAAATTACATATTTTTTCTTTCATTACTACTCTATAGTTATCATATAGTATGATTTCTAGTGTGACTAGTATTGAATATTTGATTCTCTAAGACAAAAGTATTTGTATAGCAAAATTCATACACAGGGTTAGAGAAAAACAAAAAGAGGAAGCATTAAAATAAATTCTCACTCTGCATTCATTTAACTTGAAAAGATGTCTTACATAGATAGGTCATTATTTATGTCAGGCCTAATTATCATACAGAATAAAACTATAAACATGGGAAGGCAGTGTTTCAGATCTATGCAGCTGAAGCTGGAACAGTTTTCCTGAAAATCTGAGACATGCTTCTGCTCTGACAATGTTTAAAACAGTTCTGTTTAGCGGTGCATACAACTGAAGGGCTGTATCTTCACTATTTTGAATGTACTTTGATTATTTGTTTTTTTTTCTTGTGTGATTTTAATGTTTATTTTCTTGCTATGTTAAGCACTTTACAAGTCCTTTTGAATAGAACTAAGAATTTAATAGAAACTCTTTTCTCAACTTTCTGGAAGACTGAAATGCTGACTCCCTGCCCGCTGGAATGCTATGTAGGCAGGGCTAAAGTTTGGCTGGAGCCAGACTAATTCCAAACCCAGTTGTGATTCTGAAAAATGTGTAGGCAAATAATAAACGCCTGCAACTCATACAATCATGTATTGGCAAAACTTTACAAGTTATCACATTTTGGTACAAGCTGTCACGCCCTCCCCCTCCTTCATGAACTCATGCAATAATACTAAGACTAGAAGTGCTAAAGCTGGTTTCTTTGTCAGTTACAAGCACATTGTGAAAAAACTTCCAATCACATGTTTTTTTGTTTCTCTTTTCCCCCTCCAAAGGTGCTGCTGCTCAAACCATGAAAGCAAGGATGCAGAGAGCCGGCCGCTACCGGAAGTGCAGTCCTCGCTAGACCAGACCTGACCTCACCCCTGACGGCTCTGGGACGTCCCACCTCGACCCCCTATGGCCAACCACCTGGAGCTGATCCAGGAGCTGCAGCAGCTGGACAAGGTGCCCAGTCTGGAGAGGCTGCGGGCGGCTCAGAAGAGGAGGACCCAGCAACTGAAGCGATGGGCCGTGTACGAGAAGGAGATGCAGAGCAAGAAGAAGAAAGCAGACAAGAAGAGCCGCTGCATCAACAACAACCAGCGGGAGCTCAAGAGGCACGTGTCGTTCGCTGCTAACGTGGCTTTGCTGGAGGCATCGGCGCGGAACGATCCAGAAGAAGGTCAGAACTTATGTACAAACAAACTATCCAGGATATAGTTTAGAAAATAGAGTTGGCCAACATGCTGATGTTGCATTGTTGAATTTAGTTTTTAGATCCATCCAAGAACATCTGGCATTCACCATACAGTACATTTTCTACTTAAGAAATTATATGATGTTCTAAAACATGAAATGACAAAGTAAAACACTTCATTATCTTTGTTTTTTTTGGCAAATTTTATGTGAAAAAAATATATACTTTTGCACATTTTACCTTGTGGTTGTTTGAGGTTCAGTGCCTTTACTTACATCAGCAGTGGTCTTGCGGATGCTGTAGGATCAGTTGTTGGGAAGCTTTCCTCTGCTGAGGGGCCCCCGCACCCGAAAAACCTACAAAACAGTTTGCTCCAGGATCCATTTTTATTGCTCAAAAGTAAAGGCACCATACTTAACATTTTTCACATACAATATTGCATCATGGCGCTTTAGAAGTAAACCGTTCCGAGCAAAGTCATGACTAATATTTTAGTTTCTAGTCCATTTGAAATCCAACGTTATGGGACAGAAGCATCTGTCTGTTGCGATAGAATACAATGACAAAGTTGCCCCTGCCCCATTTTGCTCTTTCCCAGTGCCATATTGTGTCATCTATTTTAGTTTGGTGCGTACTATTTGCTATTTCTGTTGCCTTCCTGCCTCCAAACAGCTGGTGTTCTGTTCATCCACAGATCTGTCAGAGGTGGTAGTGGTGCGTGGTACAGGTGTTTCATCTCCTGCACCACACTGTGTGACATAATTGTTTTCTTAGATCTTTGCTGGTAATCTTGTCAGCCAAAAGATGCATTCGGCCAAGACATGTATGTCAGAAAACGTTTTAGTATCTTTTTGTGGCTTGTCACAAACCAGATACAGCCTGGTTTATGAATATGATCAGATACTTGTGTGGGCTGTAAGCACATTTTCTTTTTCCCTCCAGACAAAGGTTCTCCCCATTAAGCGGAAAAGAAGGAAATTATCAAATAATTAATCAATCTATCAATCATTCGATTGATCAAAGTTTATTTACTTTGCACAATTTGGTAAAACATGTTAAAATACAAATAATATTCGAAATTAAATATACATGATTACATAAAATCAGTCGTAAGCACAGCTGAAAATAACTGTTTTTAAACTGTTGTTTGAACATTGTCAGGAAGACGAGCTGCATACATTTGAAATGCTGACTCCCTTTTCTGGTCCTGACTCTGGGCACCAGCAGGAGGCCAGTCCCTGTGCTCCTCAGAGTCCGAGTTGGTTCATATGGCAATAACATGTCACAGATGTGTTTTGGTGCGAGGCCATGGAGAGACTTGTAACAAACAGAGCTGCTTTAAAGTCTATTCTCTGAGCCACAGGAAGCCAGAGCATGGACCTGAGAAATGGACTAATGTGATTAAACTTCCTGGTTCTAATCAGGACTTGAACTGCAGCGTTTTGAATACAGCAGCTGTTTTACAGCTCGTTTGCTTCACCCTTATGATTCCAACCTGGTTAGTAGGGGACCCAGTGAGAAATTGGAAGTGACTGTAAACAGATTCTCTTTTTTGGGGCGGCAACTAAATTTTTTTCAGGTTTGCCTGAGTTTAGCTGTTGAAAACTGTTTTGCATATGTAGAGCAAAAATGTTTGATCGTTTATCATTGGCCTCAGAGCAAAAGAACACTACAATTAATTACCCTCATCTCCACCTCACCTCTCGGTGCGAGTGTGTAACCAAAAGCCAAGGTCAGGAAAACCCGCTAGCCAGGCATGCTCTCAAACTGCACACACAGTCCATTCTAACCACATTTGTTCTGCCAGAGAAATATTTCATCATTGAAGTAATAGTGCTGCCAAACTGCGGCGTGGCAGTGCCAGTCCTTTAATTAAAATTCCCTCACACAGCGCCTAACCCTTCTCATTTATAAAATCATTATTTTCCTCTAGTTCAGGCTCCTGCTGATGCCATAATACAAGAGCGATACAGCCTGTTATCACACACTATCTCATTGAACTTCTGCTCCGAAATTAATTTGGACTTCCCTTATCAGAGCAGAGCTGCTTCTGGCTCTGCTGCTGTAAACCACAGGTGGCTGTAAAAGATTTAAACCACTACTTAACAGAGCTGCAGGATGTGGGCATGGGTAGGATTGTGATTTTTCTGTCAAACATGAGATTGTGATTTGATTGAGGAGTAGGATCCTGTTTTATCAAACAACTTGTATTGCTATGTTTGTAGAGATGTAATAAGACTGTGATATAATGTCTCTTAAAGATTAAGTTTTGTTATTTTTGAGCTTGATCTTGAGACTATTTACTTCGATGTTTCAAGTTTTATTATGTGGAATAATATGAGTGCTATTACTATAAACTACTATGAATTTGCTTCTGTGGCCTCACCACCTGCAGGAGGATCAGTGAGGAGCTGGTGCTCTGTGTACTGGGTGCAGCTCTGACTGCCACCCCCCGACCCAGAAATAGATTAAGGGGAAGAAAATGGATGGATGGATGGATATTACTAGGAACATGTTAAATGGATAAACAGTGTAACTCAAAAATGAAACGCCTCCATCTGGTGGGGGATGGAGGAAATCAAGACCAAACACTGCAGTTAAATCCATGAACTTTAAATTTCATTAGAGACAATTTCCAAACTGTGCCAGGATAGGGATTTGAGCTAAAGTTGCAGATCGCTGAATTTGTGCCGGAAGTTTCAGATATTGAGTGAATGGAGCTAAACAACTCAGGGTCTGTTTTTGATGAGGAAACAGGGCAGCAACATAGTTAGAAGTACACATGATCATACACTCATTTTTGAAAGGAAAGCATTTGAGCTCTGTCCCCGTTGGGCAGCGAGTGTGTAGACACATACGCTGGTGCACATGGCTCCAGATGGACTGAGAGGCCTGAGATTTGACTCGCCTGGACGCTCTGCTGATTTCTGCTGCCGTGTCTAACCTCAATAAACATCCCCTTTTAAAGACAAAGACTAATAGGTTGAACAAATTGCATTAAAGAAGTGAATTAAGCAAAACTGTGGTAATTTCTCCGAGCTTTGATTTGAATGCTTGGATGCAGCTGCGACACAGAGATGCTGTTGTGAAGTGTGTTGGTTTGAAGTACAAGAGCTCTTTGTAGCACTTTCCCACTTTGATCTAGCCACTCATGTCCTCTTTAGTTGTTGAAAGATGTCCATTAACAAAACACATTCTCCTCTACCAAACTCACTACTACACTTATTGTCACAAACATATTACAGACATCCATACCAAATATACTAAATAAGTAAGTCATCGTTTTACTTATACAATGCCTTTCACAGTTATTTAGCGCTTTACAATTATGGGCACAGTGATAAGAGCAGGTTTTTAGTGGTAGCGGAATCCGGAGCCCCTGGAGGAAACCTACACAGACACAGAGAGAACATGCAAACTTCACACAGAAAGGCCTGGAGGTGGAATCTTGCTGTGATGCAGAAGGGCTAACCACTGCGCCACCCTGTCGCCCATTATGATATTTGTTAATCCTCACATCATAAAAATGCAGAAAAACATTTTAAGTGGCACCACCTGCATGTTTAAGCCAGATCCTGTCAGACCTCCAGAGCTAAGCAGAGCAGGGCCTAGTTAGTATGGTGATGGGAGACCTGTAGGAACACCAGCTGCTGCAAGTGCCAAACTGCCATTGTGTCATCAGGCAAGGCCCTTCCTCCACATTGCCGAGAATGAGTCTGGTGCTTGTGTGAATGGTTGGTGGTGGTCAGAGGGGCCGTTGGCACGTACGGGTGGCCTTGCTTCTTTCCACAGTACATTAAAAAGAGTGAAAAATCAATCCGGTTGTATGTACATGTATTTGAACATTGTCACATTAGAAGCCTGTCTCACATTTTCAGGAGGACTGTTCCAGATTTGAGCATAATCTTAAAATGCTTTCTCCAGATGTTCAGGCCTGGCTATGGGCACCAGCAGCAGGCCTAGGGGTTAGCATGGAGCACTACGGATGGTGTTTACCCTGTTTCAATGATGAATAAAAAGTCGCCAATCTTTCACAGTTTGTCCCGTCTCAAAACAGCATTGACTCCTGGGATTACATACATGTCCAGTGTGAAAACCTTGCATCAGGAGCTGAGGTTGAAAGATATTGACAATTTTGAATAATCTTTTTTTATGTTTTGCTCAGACTATATGTCACGTTTTGGGCACACTGTACGTCACATTATTAAATTGCCGTGTTGCCCTGCTGTTATGAGACTTGTATCCCCTGAGGAATAACAATGCACAAAGATAAAATGGAAAAACAGTCAACACTGTGTGAATGTAAATATCACGGGTGAAATTATTAAAAGGAGAAAGCTGTTCTGCATTCAAAAACATTCCCTCTGGAAATAGATCAGACCAAAACAACTTCAAGCATCATTTTGTATATTTACTTGGTAGGAAAGTTCACAAAACTGGCTCAGAATACAAAATTAGTTAGATAGTTGATTAAGGGGTTTTTGCAGAAGCTGAAGTTTCATTCTCTCATTTTGTCTGCTATATAATTATAATCTATGTCTATAATAATCTATATCTAACCTTTGTTTAATGTTTAGGGTTAGGTTTTCTGGTGTATGGGGTCCCACAGCAGACAAAAATCTGAACAATTGATCCTATAGCACTTTAGAGACCGCTGTAATGGAATGTAAAAACACCAGGTTGAAGCCACTGGGTCACTACAAGGTCATATATGCAAAAATATCAACTTTTTAAACATCAAGTTAAGTTGCATAATGCCCTTTTAACGAAATTATAGGAGCAACCGCATTTTGATTGCAAGAGAATACAGATACATATACTCAAACATCCACAAATCACCTAAATACACCTTCAAATGGTAGAAGCCTTGAGCAACTCCTAAAACATCAATTATTTACTTGCTAGCTAAAGAGGCTTTAAACTAGAGCTCTCTTTCGCATGCAGTCTGTTTCTGGTTTTCATGCTGATTTTATGTTTCCACACAA